GAGGGGGCAGGGACAAATGATGCAAAGGCAATCGCTCACCACCTCCCACAAGCAGACTGATGCCCAGTCTCTGAGCAACAGCTGCTTTGGAAAACCACTCCTTCTGCCTCAGTTTTTATTGCTAAACATGATGCTGGATGGTAGGGAGTATCCCTTTGACCAGCTGGAGTCAGCTGTCCCAGCTTTGTGCCCTCCCAACCTCTTCACCACCCCCCCTCCTACTTGTTGGGGAGAGCGGGAAAGGGGCAGGAGCTGGAAAAAGAGAAAGCCTTGATGTTGTACAAGTACTGTTCAGCAATAGCCAAAATATGGCTGTGTTATCAACGTTATTTCAGCCACAAATTCAAAACTCCATATGGGCGTCTGTGAAGGATGCTAACTCCATCCTGGCCAGACCCAGGACAGACATCAACCATGCAAGTTGTGCAGGATTTGTACAGGAGGAAAGATTAAGTGGAGCATGTATGGAGGTTTCTTACTAATTCTAGGGACTCCATTTCGCTTGCTGATACTGTGAAAGAATGAAGTTTTAGTTACAGCAACAGGAAGGAGAGAAGATTCAGGAAGACCAGACTGAGTGAACATGTTCTGGTAAACAGAAGTTTAAAAGGTGTGAACAACTTAAATGTGTAAAAAGTTCAGAGTAAACTGAGAAGGAGATTATTTAATCTAGCAAAGAGAGTTAGACAAGCAAACTCAGGTTTTGTTCAGAGTTTTGTTTTTGGTTTATTTCTCTTTTTCTTTAACTTATCTCTTCATTTCTTGGGCTTCCAGTACCTTAGTTTTCTGCCTTCCTCCCTTGTCTTGGCATGGTTTGGATGGCTCTGTTGAAGGTCAGGATGACACTATTTCAAGCAACGATTTTTTTTTTCCTTTTTCCCAATCTAGAAGGTGCTTGAATTCTTTTCCTGATGTCCTCTTTGACATCTCCCCAGCTTGTATTAACTGCTAAAAATAAATATATGAACTTGAGGTTCAGTGAACGTATCTTTGTAAAGCCAGAAGGACTGAGGAATACATCTGTGCAAATATAACTCTTGCCTATTGACATCCTGGAGGACTAAAAAGGAATTATTTGAAAGCATTCAGTTGAAATAATTTTATTAGTTACACTGTAGAGGAGTTTGGGAGTATCTGGAATCATCTGGACAAAAGCTGTTAGACTCTTCGTCATTAGGAATTTCTCTTTTTAAAAGGATCCATAATGTGCTGAAATACAGATGTTCTCAGTAATCGTGATGTTTAGACATTTCAAGTGCAGTGCTTGTACAAGTAGTCAGAGAGGTGATCAGAAGGGCCTTTGTGAATTAAAAAAATCTGGAGATACTGGTTTGGGTATGTCTCATGCAAACAAATGGTGAAGACTGCAAAGATAGATTTATTTCTCAAAAAAATCTGTTAAAATTCATGCCTGAGCTACCAGTGCTAGGAGTTTTGCCTAAGCAAAGGCTTAATTATCAGTGAGCTGGGTCTATTCAAATTGCTGCGCAGTATTTTAGAACTTTTTCATTCTTACATAGAAAGTAAAGCTATTAAACATAGGAAATTCATTTAGTAGGAAACTTAATAGAGTTTTGTAATTTCCACAGGGGGGGAAAGCATGTAGAGTATTTCTGATGTACTGAATTACACAAATTGAGACTTCTTGCTAGGTTACAAGCACAAACTCAATTGTCCAGCAGGCAGTGTTGGCTAAGGTGGGTGGGTTTTTAGGCCACCATGTCTGTGGGCCATTCGCACTGTAAATACAGTAACACTGAGTCCTAGTAACTTTTTGCTCAATAGCTATTCATGTTTGTGTCCAGCTGGACTCACTCCTGTCCTCTTCCAACACCAGAGAGCTCACTGACTGCTTTTGGAGTTGCATTTTGCTTTCAATGTTATGTCCATAAACCTCCAAATGTCTGAAACAAGGATGTTCTACAAGTGCCTTTTCTTAGGAGGAATCTTATCACTAAGCTGGGTGTTTTTGTCTAAATCTAGACTTTCTGGAAGAGATTTAAATTAAAACTTTGATTATTCAAAAGAGATTAATTAAATGTTTTGCTCAGTAGATTCTGGTGGGTTTTTTTCCCACTGAAATATTTCTTAAGGTTTCAGGGATTTTTTTCAAATTACTTGTTTTGTCTGCTTGGGTTTTTTCATTCATGGATTACAATTTCCTAAGAAGCATTTAGACACAGGTACCTGAGTAGTTAGACTCAACAAAATGGGAGGAAAACAAAAAAACAACAACAAAAAGTTGTTCTTTAACACGTAATAATAATTATTATTAGATGGTGATGTCTAGTGTGTGGGTTATCTTCCTGTCTTACTATCTAGGGGTTGACTAGCACCAAGGTAATCGGAGTGGTTCTTCTTAATGGAAGTTAGGAACACATGCATGCATTTACAGTGCAATATGATCAAAATGTTAATCTTTTGGAAAAACTAAAGGCAAATGAGTACATATGGGCCCTCTTGTACTGTTGTGGGCTTTGTGACTGTTTTGGTTGAACTGAACTGGGTCTGGAGCTGTTCCTGCCTTTCTGGCTTGGTAACTCTTGATACTCGTGGCGATCTGACTTGTGGAACAAGACAGGGCAAAAATGATCCTCAAAATAAAAATTTCACTTGCAAAAGTTTCTGTTCCCTGAACGGACTTGGTGTGGGGATAGATGAACACTGCATCTCTTATGGGAGAGAAGGAGCGGGGATGTGCTAGGAGAGAAAGGGGGGGAAAAGGGAAAGACCACGGCAGTACTGGCTTCAGCAATTTTAATTTTGTTGAAATACCACATCTTTAGGCACTTTGATTCAGACCACTTAATTACAAATTTTTTTTTTTTTTTTTTTTTTAAAAGAGCCCTTCTGTGTGGTGTTTCCAGATTAAGATTCTGATGTGATTTTATGAGAAAATAAGCTTTGACACAGCGTAGCAAATGTCAGGTTCTGTTCAGGGCAGGATTTAGCCTGCTGAAATCTTTGAGAATTTGTGCTATAATATTCTAAAGCTGAGCTTGCAGGTCTGTCACATGATGGCAGGGCAGAATAAACCTTTCATCTGTAATACACAAAAATTACTGGAAAACTTCAGCTGGTAAATTAGAAAATATTCTGTGGCCAAATGATTAGTTGCATATGATCTTGGTCCCTGTAGCCAGGGACTGGGAATGTCCCATAGACATGAAGTCTGCTACTTGGCTGCCTCTTACGGGTTCTGCGCTGGGACAAAAGACCCTGTCCTTGGAGAGCTGCTACACCGAAGTCGAGCAAAGGATGCCGCTCCTGGCATCCAGCGTGTGGGTGCCATCCATGGCCAAAGAGCGTTTCCACACAGCCTGTTGCTCGCTGCCTTGCAGCCGAGGTCTGGCACCAGGCTAACCCTCTGGCTGAAAATGGTCATGTATTAAATGCAGATACCAAATTTTACATTTGTGAAGATGGGCTTGTAAGGGCTCTAGAGTAAATTAGCATCCCTGAATTTTCCTGAAGGTTAGATGCACATTTATGCTTCTGTAAATAGCAAAGAAACATTTGTTGTCACAAGTGTAGCAGTACTCTAGAAAATCTGTTGTCATTTATTATAGTCTGGCTTAATGCAGATTTTTAGTTAACATAATATCTCTATGTGATTTGCGCAAAGGAAAGAGGAAGGAAAAAAGTGCAGGATTACTATTATCAGTAAGTCCCAAGGCTGTTGCTTTTGAATTTAGGACTATAACTGATATTTAACAGAATTATCCTTGACACACATGGTCTCAAGAAGAGGTCTGAAAGCAAGGGCAGAGCAGTGTTGTCAGCTGACAGCCTGAAGCAATATCTTTGAAAAGGTCTGAAACTGTCACTTTTTATCTAGAAGATGACCTTTGGCGTTCCCAGCGCTGCTCTCCCTTGTGGAAGAGAGGAGGAGGGACAGTGGAGGGAAAGTCTTTCCTTCTTTCCTTCTGTTACGTGAAGTCAGGCTGCTCGTGGTGGCCCTTGAAGAAATGCTCTTCCTGAGAGGGCGTTAAATAAAGGTGATGGTGGTTGGTGAAGGGAGGCATTGGACCCGCCGGAGTGACAGTGGCTCTTCCCCAGGCCTGCAAAGCTGTGTGCGTTGTCCTCGCTGCGTGCTCGGGGAGGGACAGGCGGGGTCCTGGCCACGCACCTGGACCACCCCGAAAAGGGCAGTTCAGGCTAGGTCTGGCTGATCGTTGTGGTAGAGAGTGTGAGATGTCCTTGAGTCAATCTGCTGTCCCAGCTTCTGACATGGATGTCCTCTGAGTGCAGAGCCGCTGTGCTGGGTTCCTCAAGGCAGTTTCCCAAAGCAGTGTTTGTCTGTGCTGTGCTGCACCTCTTTATGCAAAGCACGGTTTTGTAGCGATACGCTTAGTTGTAAAAGTTCTCGGCTATTTGTGCAAAATGACATGTGAAAGTAGCTACAGATGCATACAGTAGCATTTATAGTCATAGAAGGCTATATCATAATAACCTCAAAACCTTTCCGAAGTGTTATGCCTGCCCACTTTAGCTTTCTTCTGTTATTAGCCATACTGGGTTTGAACCAGCTAGTTTTATGCAAGAAAGTCTCTGCCAGAATCTGAAAACTACTGTGAGCTTAATTTTGACCTTAAAAATTCCTGCTCTAGGAGAAAAAACTTCTTTAAAAATGTTTATTTTCCTCAGGTTCAGAGGTGTATGCAGAAGGGAAATAATATCTTGCTTGAACTGATGTATAACACAGTAAATTAGCTTCGTAAAAATTAATTATTTTTGAGCGTGTCATGATCATAAGCATGCAGATAACAGTAGAGGTAGATGGGACAGACATGGAATTGTTATGGTAACCATCCCAGTGCCACCCGGAAAACAGTGTCAGTGTTATTATGTATTGAGTATTTCATAGTTCTAGCGCATACAACATGAATTTCATTAAGCATTGAATTAAATATGTTTAATATTGAGAATATTCTCAAGTCAGTATTTGCTATGGCTTCTTGCTAAATCAACATTATAATCCTGCTTTTGTTTCCCTACAGATGATGAAACATGCCTGGGATAATTATAAGCGTTACGCATGGGGATTAAATGAACTGAAACCCATATCTAAGCAAGGACATTCAAGCAATTTATTTGGTGAGTAGAGTGTATTTTTGTGCTCAGTGACGTCAGCATAAAACAGTAAATCAGCTGAAAAGCTTATAGGTGATAAACGTGTTCTTTCTACCCTCTGTCATGCAGTGTGATGCTTCTTGCTTATATTACATATAAAAAGTAACAGTAAATGAAGGTGATGCTTTCTATGACTTTCATAGATTCTCTTCTCAATGAGAATCAATGAAGCATGTCATTGCCGGATGATAAAGATGTAGTTTTGTTGCATTAAATACTGCCCTGCCTTAAACTTTTCCTGTGAAGTGAAACTCACTGACACCACGTTCAATAAGCAGGAAACAAAAACTATAAGGAGGTGAAAAAAATAAATCCTGTACAAGGAACAAAAGATACTCTCTTCAGTCATGAAGGTAGCTGAGGCTGTCTACAGCTCTCAGGAATTTATTTCCATTCCTTAAAAAAAATTGTTAATCTATATCAGTCAGGCTCCCATGTCAGGCTTTCTTTTTAATAACTATAACCATTATTTGCACCTCTGAGTGTTGCACAGCACATGTTTAAATAATGACGAAGTTGTTATCAGCATTGAACAAATATGGGACTGAAAAGTTCTAGCAGGAGAGGCACACTGCAGAAATCCAGTGTAATGAGGCAAGATTTTTCAGTGTCCAAGTGGGACATAGGACTGGATAAATAGCAGCTGAAGAGCAACAGCTTTCTGAGGAAGCAAGTGAAACCAGTCCTATGAACTGTCATCATCTTTAGTTTTTCAGAAAAATGAACAATTAAACTGTTTGACAGCAATCTTTGTATTCAAATAGCCTCTGTTTTACAAACAAAAAGCTGTAAAATGAACTGATTTCTGGAGCTGAGACAAAATCAATACATTATTTTGATTTTAACAGGAACTTATTTTGTTGAATGTTTGCAAAAGATAGTTTGAAGTGGAAACAGTTCCTAAGAAGTTCTAAATAGAGCACTTATCAAATCCTCAACTATATTTGGAAGTTGCTAAGAGACAGCAGTTGTGATTACAAAAATAATTTTGAAAATACATCTACATTGATCTTGCTGCACTGCTTGTCTACCCAAGTTACATCAAAAATGTTACTAGGTAATTATTATATACTTAGTTGTTGGACTTCAAACATTGTTGGGTGCTTGAAACCAAAATAATGTGGATGAACTTCAGGGTTAACTTGGGCTTCTGTTTTCTTGAAAACTTAATATTTTTTATTATCTTCATTCAGAGGATTGATAGTTGTGCAATTTAATATATTTGAAGAACTGTTTAATGCAATCCTGTTGTCTTTGTTTTCTTGGAGGACAACAAAATGGCACACGATGTCTTGAAATTTAAAATGCTTATGCTGGTTTCATTTGGAATCAGAAATTGTATAAAAATTTACAAAGTTTCTGTTCTTAATTATATTTTGTGTATTGGCAGAAAAAAGCTGTAGACGTGTTGACTTGCAAAATTCTTAGGCAGGAGTTCTGTGGATGTTGCGTACGAATAAGTCACTGCAGGCACTATTCAGTGTGGAACAGGACAAGTGTTGAATTTGAAAATAAAACTGCATTTAAAGGAGTAAAAGCCAGAGTCAGTCTAAATGCAGATCACTTTCTCATCATGGTCATCTAGTATAAGATCTTATTGCTGAGGAGATTTCCTTAGGAACATCTTCACTTTTATTGATCTTGGTGGCAAATCAAAATAAGCATTAGGTCTCTTTTTGCTGAATTGCTTTACAGAATACTAAAGAGCAGCGTATCTGCAAGCAGTCGTGTTTCACAAGCTACCCTTTCCTAAATCCATAAGCTCCTTTTGCTTTTTTAGAAACAAATCCTTGTTTCTGTAGTAGTGTCCGCAGATCATTAGATCTGGTCTGTACCTTCATGTCTGAATTCAAAAAATGCCTTCTTTTTCATAAGGCAAGAAAAGGATGATCTGTTTTTTGCCTTATTTTTTGTTTTTATCAAATAGTTGAACCTCTTTTGTCTCGTGAAAGGACAACTTTCCTTATGTTCTTTGTTTCTGGTTCTTTTTTTTTTCTTACATGCAATGGTTGCATTTTTAAGAAATTGCAAATTGTTGGCTACTTTTAAGGTTATTCGGAATTAAATTATTTGAGAACAGGTTACCTCCAGCTCTGAGTCCCACAAATCTCCTCGCAACCTTCAGAAATCAAGTAAGAGCTTCAGTTCACTGTCATTGTAACTATTTCGAGTTTGCCATGATCGTCTTTTCTTCTTGCTTCTAAGTCTCAGTTTTTCAAAAATACAAGTTTCCGATTGTCCTAATAGCAGTAAGATGTAGCATATTTCATTAGCCAGCTATTTAATTTTGGACACTTCCCCTTCTACTAATTAATTGGTGCAGTTATGGTAATTTGCATATATTGGAAGTGTCTGCTATGGGATAGAGACTTTAAGTACCTCACTGTGAGGAAGAACAGATTCCAATGCTGTGGTTCGCTGGTGCTTAGTGTTCTGTATGTTACAGACAGTGTAGCTCTCCTGACACAGAAGGGGAGGGTTGTTTTCAAATGAAATTGTTTCTATGCTTAATTTTGAAACTATACATGCTTCAATCCTTGGTAACATGATAAGGCATTTTGTAGATAGATTATAATGACAAGTGTTGTCTTGAAGGCAAGACACAACCGTCATGATGTGTTTCTCTGAAACACAAAAATAAGGTGGGCTTCTAAGAACTGTAATTACGCATGGATGCGACTGTTGGGCAATACCATCATGAATGTAGCTGACGCTATTGTTAGGCTATGAGTAGAGGAATACGGCCGGTGGGATGACGACGGGAGAAAGGTTGATGACGATGGGAGAAAGGGTAGTGACAACTGGTGGTTCTGGCCTCAGGCGAAGGAAGAGCATCCTGCTTTAGTACCTCGTACAAATTAAGAATAGTAGAGCTCTTCTGTAGCTGAGGACTGCTTGACCAACTTTGAAATGACATTTTACTTGTCCTAAACCCAGGCCATGAAACCAACTTTTGAAGGACCTGCCTTGATCTTGCTGGTATTCTGTGAGCAGTGTGTGGAGGGTGTATCTGATAAGTTGAGGGAGTCTTAAGACTGGTAGACTGTAGGCATATTCATGGTATGACCAGAAGTTGCTTCCTGTGCACACTAAAAATTATTAACTATTAGAGAAAGGCTGAAACACATGTAAACTGAAATATTTCTGTTTCAAGCCAGAGCCACATACTTGCCTCTGACCATTGCAAAGTCTTTTCAACACATCCATGGAATGTTTTGATTCCCTTTTTATTTGCCACTTTAGCTTTTGCCATGTTGTCTTGGCAAGTAACCAACATTATTGTGAGTTTTTTATAGTTTACTCCAACTACAAAGAATTTGTTTGCAGTAACAACTGTTTGAAAAGGCAGAAGGGAAAAGTCATCAGTTGTTGTCTCTGTAGCATTCTTATTAGTTTAATTTCATGAAGTGTACAACTGTTTCTAGGCTAATCAAGTAAACTGGAATTGCTAAATATCTGTTTGCAACCGTACCTGTGCATCAGCAGAACAAGGCATGTCTCGTGTGCTGGTATGACTTCTGCTCCAAGCACTGGTCACTCTCTGCCCATACCTGGTAGAGAGTGGGCCCTGAATAAGTGCTGTTAGTTTTTAATACTTTAACCTTTAAAGTTTCTGATTACTGTTAACAATGTTTGCTAAAACAGAGCTTTATCCATGTACCCTCCTAGTGTGGGGGAAAGTGGCAAAATCACAATTTTGCCAATTTTTTTTCACAGCACCCCACCACCAGCCTCCCAACCCAGGAGCTATTCCTCTCCAAGCCTTCTGTACTAATTTGAAAACTAATGAACATTGCTGCACTGGTGGAGAGCTTTTTCTAGAAGTATTTGTGCACTTCAGTTGAGTGTTGCTGAAGGGCTTTTTTAATTATCTGTAACTGTACTTCATGTGCAGTATTGCAAGTTTAATAATATTGCAACTTGTGGGCATAGTATAATTAGTCTCTGCAAGTGAAAAAGGACCTTTTCTGTAGGGCAAAAGGGAAGCATTTAATAAATACAGTCTGCAAAGCCAATGTACGATAGTTTAGCAAGATCCTGTTCCTCCCACTTTGAACTGATGTTTGTAGCTTCTTGTACAGAGTATTTAGGTGTATGAAGATTTTTAAAGCTTGACATAATTCATATTCAAAACTCTCTTGCAGTGTGCACCAATATGTATTTTTCAACTGGAAGTTTATTAATATAGCGCTAGAAAATTAATTTTACATGTGTTTAAATAAGAAGTTAATTTAAATTGAAATGCGTCAACATCTTGCCCCCCCCTCCCCAATCTTGTTTCTCTTCACTTTTGCTGCTGGATTCCTTGGAATTTTGAATCCCAGTATGTGCTCAATTTTGGAAGTAAGCCTGATATCTTTCCCAACTAAATTGATAGAAACTCATCTAAAGAATAACATTAGCAGATATGTGGATGAATGACTCAGCACAGCATTTGTGAAAGGAGGTCATGCTGCACAACTGCTTTTTTTTCAAAGTTGGTCAGTACTGAGACAAGGAAGTTTATTGTCTTTTTATATTTCCAAAAAAGCATGTTGGGAGGTTATTACTGGCCTCTTGTAGGGATGCATTGCTGCTGAGGCCATGCCCTCAAATTATTTATCACAGCGCTGGAAAATCAAATGAGCAGAGTGACAGTTTGACAGCACTAACAAGTTACTCGAGGTAGCTACGGCACTGGCAAACTGCAAGCAACTCCATGAACTGAGAAGGATTCCCTGACAGATGAGAATTGCTCTTTAAAATAGCAAATGAGGTCTAACATACCTAAATTTAAACTGGCACATAGTGGCGTGGGAGATACAATTCAAAGTTAATAGACAGAACTAGGAGACTTGAACTCAAGGTAGTAAAGATCGAAAACTTTTCAGTATAACATATGGAAGTACATAGAAGGTAGCAGAGAGTGGGTGAACAGGGATTTATTGTTCCTAGTGGAGAACAGTAGCCTTTGTAAGGGGTGG